GTTTGAATGGAAGAAAAAGATTCTGTGGACAGGTGTCTTTTATACACATAATGAGTTGTCGTTAGGAGCACCTTCTTACATTGACAGGACTAATCTGTGTACCACATGAGCACACAGTCAGTCTGTTGGAGCCAGAATTATGGTTGGTTTATCAACTACAAGGAACGTCTTACCTCTGTGCTTGCCAACAAGGGTTCCTCCACCAAGTGCTAAGTCATGTTTTGCTTGGGGATCAAATACTTATTTTACTCACTGAACAGCAACTCCATTTATAACATTTGTATCATGTGTTTTTTCTGGATTTTGGTTGATATTCTGTCTCTATCATTTAAACTACATCTATGATAAAAATTTATAGACCCTTCATTTCTTTGTAAGCAGGCTAACATACAAAATCTGCAGGGGATCAAGTACTTATTTTCCCCACTGTAGATAGGAAAGTATATCATATTTACTTTTTTTTTTTCCTAACATTTTTTAGTTACTTCCTGGTTTCCATGCCTAGGGAAATGATTTAAAACATTCCCAGGAGTCTTCAGGGCAGGAGAAGGGTTTTCCCAGCTAAGCACAACCTCCTGCCTGCATGCCTGAGCTAAAGGCAGATGGATTCCAGGAAGTAACTGCTGCATGAATCACTTGCCCTTACTCAAGATGGCCACAACCGTAAGTGCTAGGCGGTGTTTTTCTAAGGGATTTCTCAGCATGGAGCATGGGTGGATGGGGGTGTTGGTTTGAATATTAAAAATGAATTAAGCACAGTGGCTAAATGGTTAGCACTTCCCCCTGGCAGTACTAGGTTCCTTGGTTCGAATCACAACCATGGCACCACCTGACTGGAGTTTGCATGTTCTTCCTGTGTGGGTTTACTCCGGGAACTCACATTCACACCACACTCCAAAGACATGCTGGTAGGTAAATTGGCCCTAGTATGTGTATGTACGTGAGTTGGGAACTTTAGATTGTACGCCCCTTGAGGGTCAGGGACTGATGTGAATGTAATATATGTATGTAAAGAGCTGTGTAAATTGACGGCACTATAGAAGTACCTCTTATAAATAAATAGTGCTTTTGGTTTGTGGTGCTTGGATACAGTGTAGTTCCATTTTAAAGAGTATACAAATCCAACATTCCATATTCCTGATATGTGCCTGCTGTACCATGTATTTGAATGAAAGAGTATCTTGTTCTTTACACTGCTTCCTTTTGTGTGAATGCCATGGTGTTCCTGCCAGTCCCTCTGCTTTCCCTTTAAAAACTGACCACACTAGTCAGGAGAACATACCGTGGACAGTACTCTAGCTAAGCTGGGAATTCAGCCTGCTCTCCTCCAATGATCAGACTTGTCCAGAACCTCCCCACCCCCCTGCAAAGCCAATCACTGGGAAGATCAGTGTGCTGCTGTTTTCTCCTCCGCTTGCTCTTATGCAGCAGAGAACAAAGGCTATGTGATCATTTATAAAAAAAATGGGGAAAAAAGTGTTTATAATGATTTTATATCTATGCACAAATGCTTAGCCTTTCATTTCTATGACTTGAACATCAAGGACATCACTAATGACTGGCTGTGGAAGCATTGCTTTTAATATTTAGGCATGTGGTAATAAACCAACCAATCAAAATTCACTTTAATGACAAGGACAAGATGGATTTTGATTGATTGCTATTGGTCCACCCTTTGCACTTATAGCACAACTTTACTTTCTCAATCAGCATAAAATATTTTTAATTCTTATGCTGCAGGCCATAGTTTACAGATAGGAAGATATATTATATTTACTTTTTTTTTTTTTGTTAAGAATTCTTCAGGTACTTCCTGGTTTCTAGCCTAGGCCAAAATGATGTCATACATTCCAGGAGTCTTCCTGAATTTCTTTCTTTCATCTGGAGGAGGGGTTTTTTCTCCGCTAAGCACACCCACCTTCCTGCATTCCTAATCTAAGGGCAGATGGATTCCAGGATGTAAATATTACATGAGTCATCTGCCCCTACTCAAGATCAGTGTTTTCTCAACCTTTTTTCAATCAAGACACCATTTGAAATGATGGACAGTCCCAAGGCACCCTTTGAAATTATGGACAGTCCCTAGGCACCCTTTAAAATTATGGACAGTCCCAAGGCACCCTTTAAAATGATGGACAGTCCCAAGGCACCCTTTAAAATTATGGACAGTCCCTAGGCACCCTTTAAAATTATGGACAGTCCCAAGGCACCCTTTAAAATTATGGACAGTCGAAAGGCACCCCATTCTAAAATGTGAAAAAACTATTCCAATAGTTTTATATAACGCAGCAACATCCACACATGTAGGACACCCAACATTAGAGGTTATTTATTCTTCCGAATCAAATACACGTTTGCACACTGGTGCTGACTAGTATTCCAATGTTTCTCTTCTCTCCCTCAGGGGAGAGGCAGGGGAGGGTCAAACAAGGATGCCGTGCAGGCAACCAACATCCATAATGTCATATATGTGCACAATGAAAACGTGTGGCTTTGTGTAACTAGAAGGTAGTCTTCTTACATCTGCTGGCTTGTATACAAGTTTTGTGCAATTTTTAGACATTTTGCCAAGGCACCCCTGAAGAAACCTCAAGGCACCCCAAGGTGCATGGGCACCCTGGTTGAGAAAGGCTGCTAAAGATGGCTGCAGTTAGAAATCCTAGGATTGTGGTTCAAAGTGATTTCTCATCAAAATAGATGGGTGAGGTTGCTTTGAATATTAACGCATTTTCAATTTGTGGTGATCAGATAAGTTGTACTTTAACAGCAGCAAGGCCTTGCATTGATTAATTAACCCTTTCAAGTGTTTCTGAATTCTGGATACCACTGTCCCTAACTATTATGCTGACCATACGCATAACAATTTTCAGGCCATTTCAACAAACTTTTATTCTCCAATACAATTAGAAGTGTTTGTTAGAGCAAAGCCAACCAACCATTAACAAAGTTGGTCAATTGGCAAACTTAAGTCAATTTTATGGAAATCCATTAAACCCTCTCAGATGGAAAGCAATCAAACTTTCCATTGGGATTTCTTCAGCTGTATTGCCAATTGGTCAATCAAAATGATACATTCTTCATTTTTTTTAGATTTTCAGAGTTTTTCTAATTTTAATGAAAGATTGTAGCAAAATGGAATTGAATGTTTGTATGGCCAGCTTTTGTGACAGGTGATTGCACAAAAGCAGCACTTCTGAAAACGAACTTTCTTTTACTAAATAGGGCTGGGGTTGTATGTGATTGAGTAAATCAGGGAAAAACAATCTGTTCTAATTTTGACTTAAAAAAATAAGATCTACACTAGCCTTTCTCAATCAGGGTGCCCAGGCACCCTGGGGTACCTTGAGGTTTCTTCAGGGGTGCCTTGGCAAAATGTCTAAAAATTGTCCAAAACTTGTATACAAGCCAGCGGGTTGAACAAACCTGACTTTTAGTTACACAAAGCCACAGGTTTTCATTGTGCACCATTACTGACCTTCTAGCCACCAGCTTCCTAACAACCAATGACATCAGTTGATAAGGAGGATATCATCTGCCTGCAGAGCATCCTAGTTTGACCCTCCCCTGCCCTTCTCCATCAGTCCTCGGGTCACATTAGCTCAGTGATGGATAAAACTGAGGGAGAAGAGAAACACTGGAATACTAGTCAGTACCAATGTGCAAAAGTGTATTTGCTTTGAAAGAATAAATCACCTCTAATGTTGGGTATCCTACATGTGTGGATGTTGCTGCGTTATATACAACTATTAGAATCGTTTTTCAAATTTTAGAATGGGGTGCCTCAAGACATAATTTTAAAGGGTGCCTCGGGACTGTCCATAATTTTAAAGGGTGCCTTGGGACTGTCCATAATTTCAAATGGTGTCTTGAGTGAAAAAAGGTTGAGAAACACTAATCTTGAGTAGGGGCAGATGACTCATGTAATATTTACATCCTGGAATCCATCTGCCCTTAGATTAGGAATGCAGGAAGGTGGGTGTGCTTAGCGGAGAAAACCCCTCCTCCAGATAAAAGAAAGGGACTGTCCATAATTTTATGGGGTGCCTTGACTGAAAAAAGGTTGAGAAACACTGACCTACACTGTTGGCAACAATGCACACCAAGCCCTTCAAAGCTGCCTTCATCAATACTATTACAAATTATACTTACCTTGTATCTAGGTATCTTCTAGGTAGTCTTGTGACGTGATGGATCCTTCCTTTTTTTTTCCAGCATCAGTGGTGGGTTTTCCTTACTGTTGGCTAAAACCGCATTCGTATAGTAGTATCCAGCAGTACACTGTTAGGCCAGGATGGAATCAAGACACATCCCCAAGTAGGTTTCATTAACAGACTGGGCTTGCAGGAAGGGGTTGGGCTCTAAAGGTGAGTATCGTATCAAAAGCTTCAATTTTTAATTGATGACAAGTTTGACAATGTAACTTTTTTTCTTTCTAAAAGTGGAGTTCACCTTTAACAAGCTGAGATGCCAACTTTTGGAACCTGAATGAATCATGGTCACAATTGAACAACACTAATCTGTGGTTATAAGGGGACATAACTTTGGTCTAGTTAATATCATAGGAGCACAATTCATAGTCGTTCTTCTAGAGAACCTTGATCAAGCTTGCAGAGATGTACAGTAAAGGCATCTTATTAACTGTACTATTACAGTTTCTTTTCTCCTGGCAGAGTTTCTAAGGTAACCTACGCCATTACTGAGTTCCCTCTAGATGTGTTTACATAAGCTATTACGTGGTGCTTAAGCCCTAAATTAGGCAAGAGAGCATCCGCAAATAGTCCCCAAGGAGGCCTTGCTTCAATGGAGAGGGTTGCTTAGCGCTGGAGCGAGAGAGGAAGGTGAAGAGGAGAGATGCAGGTAACCACAACCTTAGTTCATTACTGGTTTGTACAACGAGAAGACCTCTTGAAGAGTTCTCTTTGAAAAGACTGAAGACAATGGCTTCAGAGATTTCAGACATTGAGCTCCCTTTCGCTGAAGACACGGCACTTACCAAGTGCATGCGTATACGTGCCCACAGCCTCCAACAAAAGAACGCCAAGCCCCAAGATGGCGAAAGATTATTGAAAGCAAACGAATATATCTACCGCCTGGATTTCATCAAGCAGAAACTTCGATTTATATGTTGGAAGGTCCATCTTAAATCACCCGGCAAGGTGGTCATCACGGGGACCTCTCAACACTGGACACCAGACCTCACCCCCCTCATGACCCGCCAGCTACTTGACCCATCGGCCATCTTCTGGATGAAACCAGGACAGGATGAGGTTGAATGCAATGAGGCAGATGTCCAAGAATTTGGAGAAAGGTTGTGTGAGCTAGCCAAAATTCGAAAGGTCATGTTCTTCGTCCTCACCTTCTTAGATGGAGCAGAACCCTCCAATATTGAATGTTCTATTGCTTTTAAAGCCTGAAAAGACTCATGTTTTGGTTCTATACGAAGGCTAGAGAAGAACTGTTATATGGTTGGTTGACTATTAAGTTCTACATTTTTTTTTTTATTTGGTGTAATCTTTTTAATTTCAACAATATTTTTTATTATCGAATTCTTAGTCAGTAAAGAATAATTCAACTTAGTAACTACTTTAGGATGTGTTCAAGCTAAAGTGGCCATGCAATCATTGCGCATCACAGTCACCATGATGCGATTTGCTCTAAGACAATAGTTGGGTTATAGTTTCATTAGGGCCACATATATCTGTGTACAGATCCAAGTTAAAAAAAAAAAAAAAAAAAAAAAAAAAATCCAAAATAGTTTGAGCCAATGCTGTGAAATATGTTTTCTGTAAAGTTGAAGAGTTTGCCTAAATTTGCCATTTCAAATATTTTTACTTTCAGAACAACCCGATTTTTCCATCTGTGTAAAGTCATAAATGTTACATTATTGGGTTTATTTTTCAATAGATTTGTTATTTTATGTGTGTTTCATATCTGATTCTTTAGTGACCTAAGCCTACGTGAAAGAGGAAACAAATGTTTAATTGTTCATTTAGGTGTATGTAAACTAATTTGCTCTCTATTGGTATTTAAATATACCGTAAAAAATGTTTTAGCTATTTATTAGATGCAAAATTAAGAAAAAAAAAAAACTTGATCCTAACAGATTTTTTTTTTTTTTGAGCTGATAACTTCCTGTGCTCTCTGCTGTTTATCAGTTATATTCCCATAGCTCTTTGTAGACTACAGAACACCTCCCTCTGTTATGGGGAAGTGAAGAGGAATGTTCTGTAGTTCTGTCCAAGGGTGGCAACGCATCTCCTCCATGGGTTAGGTACAGTCAATGAGTGTTGTCACCCTAGAACAGGAAGTGTATTTGTGGAAGGTCACCAGGTAAAAATAGAGACCATGAAAAAAAAAATGCAGCTGCCATCAAGTTAATGTAATGTATCACATTTTTGTTCTCGGGTTTAGATACACCTTGATGTTCTGCTGTATCACACAAAGTAAATGTATTTTCCAGACCTTAAATAACTGAATTTATTATGCATTTATTGTGTTTATAGTATAAGTGTTCCACTTGTGTACAAACCGATACTGACGAATCGAAGTTTCAGGATTGCATGTCATTTCATCCTCTTAAATTGGTGGTTCTCACTTCATGTTATCATTTATTTCCAATTGGCGAGTTCCTTTTGATCAACATTGTTTGACAGTTTACCTGTTTGCTGTGAAGTTGTTGTTTTTATGTTTTTTTGTTTTTTTTTTAATGTCTGCCACATCTGTACTCTGTTATAATGGGTAAAATGTATCTGCCTTCTCTAAATTATATATAAACTTGTCCCATGGTTTAATAAAGAGCTTTACATTTTCTCTCGTTTTTTCATTTAGTATTTTTTCTTTTTCATCTGTTCAGTTCTGTCTTTAGAACAGACCAGGCAAGCCTTCTTCACCCCCAGTTCACATCTATGCAGCTATGCGGGCCACGTTTTGCACGGGCATGAGAGCCCATTCATTTGAATGGACTCCCGTGCCCATGATACGCAGGGAAAGAAGTCCCTGCACTACTTTGGAAAACGCAGCCCACACGGGACCCTCGGTTCCCAGTATGGTTGAGTTTTCCAGTGCGGGCGACGTGCCATTAGAACTAATGGCAGCCGCCCACGGGGTCAGCAATTCTCTGTGCGGGTGGTGCAGTTGCACGGATTTTCGTGCGGACCCGCAGCGGCACCACCCACACAGATGTGAACCGACAGTAATTGTTACTAGTGTTATTTTGTTATAATTGTAATCATAGCTAGTTTTAGGTCTTATGTACACGTGACCTGCCCTAAACATTTAGCTCTCCTAGCAGCAGAAAAACGCATGTAAACGCGTTACTGTGTTTTGCTGCGTTTAGCGATTCGATGTTTATTCTTTTGATTGGCCACAGTATTCTCAATTGACATAAACACCCAAGTGCTAAACATGGCTAGCATTTAGACGCATTTGCACATTTTTGTCGCTTTTAGGCCTCATGTACTCATGAACTCACCTAGTCATTAAACTCTCCTGGCAGCAGAAGAATGCTAAACGTGGCAAAAAACGCATGTAGACATGGTACTGCGTTTAGCGCTGGGATGTTTATTCATTTGATTGGCCAGAGTATTCTACATTGACAAGCGCTAAACGCGGCTAGCGTTTAGCTGCCTTTACATGCGTTTTTGCTGCATTTACTTTTTTGGCCAAAACATTCCTCTCCTGAACGCGATTATTCTACATTTAGAAGAGGAAGGTTTAAATGCCCCTAAACTCTGTTGTTCCTAAACTCTGGTAAAAGCCTATGTGTACATGGACACATAGGCTTTTATTGGGCAGCACAGTGGCTAAATGGTTTAGCACTTCCACCTGGCAGTACTAGGGTCGTTGGTTCAAATCCCAACCACGGCACCACCTGCCTGGAGTTTGCATGTTCTCCCTCTGCCTGAATGGGCTTTTTCCGGGTACTCTTTTTTCCGGGTACTCTGGTTTCCTCCCACACTCCAAAGACATGCTGGTAGGTGAATTGGCTCCTGTCTAAATTGGCCCTAGTAGGTGTATGTATGAATGTGAGTTAGGGACCTTAGATTGTACACCCCTTGAGGGTTAGGGACTGATGTGAATGTACAATATATATGTAAAGCGCTGCGTAAATTGATGGTGCTATATATGTACCTGAAATAAATAAATAATGTTGAGTTCAGGGGCTTTGGCAAAAAAAAAAAGCCAAAATCTCCTAAACCCACGTTTAGCATCAGCAATGTGCAGGGGGCCTTAGGCGTTTTTGCAGCTGCATCTAAGGATGTCAGGCGTTTTTTTTTTTTTTTTTTTTTCCCTGCCTCTAAACTCTCCTTCATGTTAGCCTATGTGTCCATGCATACATAGGCTTTTAGCAGCATTTAGTGGCACGAGCTTTTAGAGGCAACAAAAAAAGAACCTCACTACCAAGTGTGTTGGTTTTGGCAGAAAAAATTATTAACGCTGCTAAACGTTAGGTGCATTTAGCACTTGAGAGTTTATTCATTATCATAGCCAGAATAAATATTTATTCTGCTCAATGAAATTAATTAACATCCAAGCTCTTGACGCCTGTAAACACGTCTAAAAGCTTGTAAAAGCTTTAGCCCTCATGCACACTTGATGTGTTTACAGCGGCTGTTTTTAGCATTTGATGTTTTTTTTTCTACAGTCAATAAACTCCCCAGCATGTTATCCTATGTGTCCATGCACATGTAGACTGTAATCAATGTTTTTTGGCTGGGATGTTTTTTGGCTTAAAAAAAAAAAAACCCCAGGACTAGTGGGTTTCTAGAGTTTTTCAGCTGTAAAAATGCTCTAATGCTGCAAAATGCGGTAAATCGCTGTAAAATGCAGCAAACCGGCGTTTTTGGATATTTTTTTTAACCAAAAAAGTTTATTTTAGTAAAAAAAAAGCTAAAAATTCTAAAAAATGCAAATGCGGAAAAACGCCGCTAAGCGCTAATTAAAAAATGCTAAAAAGAGCTGAAAAACTCCCGTTTTTTTTTTTTAAACGTGACTTAACACAGATAACATTACCAGCGTTATCAAAATGTCAAGTGTGCATGAGGACTTAGACACTTTTACAAGCGTCAGGCTTTTTTTTTCTGACAAAACGCTGCTGCCAGGAGGAAAGGCTTCTAGGAAAGTTTGCAAAACGTCCTGTGTGCATGAGCCCTTAAAACAGAGTTCCTCTCATGCTGTCAAAAAATAAAAGTCAGCAGCTACAAAAAACTGTAGCTGCTGACTGTTAAAAAAAACACACACTCACCTGTCCCTCGGTCCCGTGGTGTGTCCCCTGCAGGCCGTTTTACCGGTCGTCTTCTCTCCCTGGCGCCGGCATCTTCAGTGCAGGCACCCGGCTGCGACAGCTTGCGGCATCACCTGCTGCACATGTGCGAGTAGCGCTGCGCTTCCTGAATGGTCCTGTAGTCTTCTGGGACCAGTCACGTGTCCCAAAAGACTGGGAGGAAGGAAGGGAGGACACCTTCCACTTCCGATCGCCTAGGCAATTGGAGCGAAAATGGGAGCGGTTACCTGTCAAATTCGAGTACCCGCTCCCCCCCCCCCCGCCCCCCCAAGGGTGCCAGTCCTTAATGGGGAGCGGGGGAGCAGTCTTTAAAGAGGAACTTCCCCTTCTGGGTGGAGCTCCACTTTAAGCTGTTCTTCAGTATGAAAAAAAAAAATGAATGGCCTACAAATACTGTAGATGCTGACTTTTATTAAAATACTAACCTGTCCTGGATTCCAGCACCATCCTCAGCAGGGCTGGTTCCTTGCCTGTCCTTGAGACCCCGGCTGGCATGTTTAGTGTGGGAAGCTGGTTGTGGTTCCTTGTGGCTGCACAGCCGGCTTCCCACTGTGCATGCCAGCGAAAGTGGAAGCTGGTACAACAGATAACTAGGTACCCGCTCCCAAAAAGAAAAAAAAAAGGGGGGGGGTGAGCAGAAGTTCCCTTTTAGAGCGCAGTTTTGTTTTAAGCTGGCCATACACAGCTTGAATTTCAACCAGTTCCTGGTAAATCAGACAGAATTCGAGCTGAGAGTTGCCCTGTTGACATCCCTTGGCTCCACAAAACTCACTTTAAAAGCTGTTTGGAAATACATCGACCAGCAACTGCACCGTATCAGATATAACTACCATTTGGGTATTCTGGCAGCTGCGGCTGTATGAATAAATAGTTGCTGTTAAGCATGGATAGAGAAATCCACACTAAGCAGAGGTGGCTGTCAGAATACCTGAACAGTGCAGGGGCGGACTGACCATTTGGAAACTCGGGCACTGCCCGAGGGCCCAGGGTCAATAGGGGGCCCCATGAGATGCCCCTGGTACCTTTTTCATAGGCTTTTTTGAGTTTGGGCAAGGACACAGGGGCCCCATGATCCCCTATTGCCCGGGGACCCCATGAGTTGTCAGTCCGCCCCTGGAACAGTGGCAACAG